CTTCTCTGGAGAAATATCTTTGCAGAGCCTTTATTCATTTTGAAATTAGGTCATTTGTCTTTCAATTCTTAAACTATAAAATTTTTCACATGACTTATATACAAATGTTTGACCAGATAAAATGATTTGCAAATATTTCATCTCATTTTATGGGTTATCTTTCCACATTCTTTTTTTTTTTTTATAAATTTTATTTATTTATTTGTGTGTGTGTGTGTGTGTGTGGCCAGTTCAGCCCACCAGGGGGCGGGGCTGGCTGGCATGTGTGCTGGGGGATTGAACCGTGGTCCCTGTGCTTTGCTAAGCTTGTTCTAAGTAGGTGCTTTAGACCACTGAGCCATCTCACCAGCCCCTCCACATTCTTTTTTTTTTTTTTAAAGAATTTTATTTATTTTATTTATTCATTGTGTGTGTGTGTGTGTGGCCAGCTCAGCCCACCTGGGGGCAGGGCTGGCTGGCATGTGGTGCTGGGGGATCGAACCGCGGTCCCTGTGCTTTGCTTAGCTTAGCTTGTTCCAAGTAGGTGCTTTAGACCACTGAGCCATCTCTCCAGCCCCCCCCTGCACATTCTTGATGGCATATTTTGGAGCACAAAAGTTTTAAATTATGATGATTTTTCATTTACCTATTTTTCCTTTATTCTTGTGCTTTTGTGTCATACATAAGCCTGTGGCTGAAGGCAATAAAGATTCATTCCTATAATTTCTTCTAAGAGTTGTAACTCTAACCTCCAAAGTGATGGAATTTGGAGATGTGGACTTGTGATATAATTAGGTTTAGATGAAGTCTTTAGGGCGGAGCCTTCATGATGGGATTAGGAGCTGGACTGGTTAGCTTTTTGTCACAGAGATTAAATACTGAACAAGAAAGAGCATTCTGGTCTTCTGCGGTACCACCAGAACCCATCACATTCTATTTTCCAGTGTCTAGGGCTCTTCTAGGCTGCTTCTCCAATAGGCCAGTAAAAATGCCATCCTCAGCAACTACCCCACTTCTCAGAAAAACATTTTCTGTATTGGTCAGGTTTTTGTTGCTGAGAAAGAATACCTGAAGCCCACAAATTAAAGGAGTAAAAGTTTATTTTGGTTCACAGTTTCAGAGGTCTTAGTCTATGGTTAGCTGGCTCTAAGGCAGAAATATCATGGCAGAGGGGGTGACAGAGGAATGCTGTCATGTGGTGGTGAGAAGCAGAAGGGGGGGCAGGGACCATATACAGTCCAAAGGGGTCCCCCATTGATGATGTTAGTTAGTTTTCTCACAGTAAAATCACTTCTCCAGGAGCCTCTTAGTCCAGGCACTATTAACTGGCACAGTACTTTCTCTCTGTCTTTATGTCTTTCTCTTGGCCATGGGAGGGTTCAGTAAGCTTCCTGCAAGCTAAGAAGAGAACTCAACAGAATCCGATCATGCTGGCACCAGTATCTTGGACTTCCTAGTTTTCAGAAATAGGAGAAAATAATTTCCATTACTTAAGCTACACAGCCTATGGCATTTTGTTATGGTAATGTGAGATAAAATAGCATTAAATTTGTGGATCTATCTGAAGAGTGCAGCTACCTCAACAATACTGAGTCTTCTGATTCATAAACATGAACTGATGTTCCTTTTATTTAGGACTTCTCTAATGTTTCATAGTTGCCGCAGTGTAAGGTTTGCACTTATTTTGTTAATTTATCCCACTGTATTTTATTTTTAAAGCTATTTTAAATGGAATTGTCTTCTCAATTTTATTTTCAGATTTTTAATTGTGAATGTGTAGAAGTACAATTGATTTAGGTACATTTATCTTGCGTCCTCAAAACTCGAAGAATTTTTTTTTTATTCCAATAATTTTTTAGTGCGTTTTTTAGGATTTACTATATGCAAGATCTTGTCATGCAAATAAAGATAAGTTTCCTTCTTCCCTTTCAATTTGGAGTCTTTTATTTCATTTCTTGCCTATTAAACCTAGCATGGAAAATGAGAGCAGATATTCTTGTCTTGTTCTGGATCTTACAGGGAAGCATTCTGCTTTTCACCAATAAGTATAATGCAATCTGTGGCTTCGCCTTTGTTCTAGAGAGAGTGTTCTACAGAACAGACAATCTTCTTTGACAGTTATTTCTTTCAGAACATTAGAGACATTATTCTACTGTTTTCTGGTTTCTGGGTGCTATTACAAGTCATCTGCAGCCCTACTTATCATTCACATGGACATGATCTGTCATTTCTTTCTGGCTGTTTTTGAGATTATCTTTCTCTTTGATGATTAGAAGTTTCTCTCTGATGTGTGTAGGTGCATTTCTTTTATATTCTCATATTTACTTGTAAGATTTTATTATGTTACTATATAAGTTCCAATATACAAAGTCTTTGAGGTTCTGATTCTGTTCTTCACTGTTTCTCTCAACTGTCTCCATTATGATTTCTATGTGTTTGGTTGTGAGCTACTAATTTTCCCACCAACATTATTTATAGCAATTCTTTGAGGTCTAAAGTCAAGCTGAGTTGCTCCAAAGAAGATTATCATTTGCTTCTGACATTGCCAAGTGTGGGATTTTTTAAAAATTTTCTGCTTGATTTTTAAATTTACACCAAATACCTAGCATGCCATCTAGAAATCCTGTAAAGGATGCCTTATGGATAGATAGTTTCACTCCAGTTGTAGTCCCTTCTGCCCCAAATTGGCACAGGCAACTTTTATTTCTGCCTCTTTTTGCCAGAGCTGGTCTATTTCTCCCCATTCATACACTAAGACCTCCGCAGAGGAAAACATCAGCCATGCACAGAGTTCTCCTTGTGAGTTCTTGTCTTTTCCAGGTTGTGAGATTGCAGCTTTTTCTCCGTGAGCCACTTAAATATGAAACTAAAGTCTCAAGGTCTCCAAGGCTTAGCATAAGCTATTGGGGCAAAATCTGGCATCAGCAGTCACAGCAGGATTTCTCCTTTCATTTTTATTTTTGACCTCAACAGATTCTTTTCATGGCAGGACAGCAGTGCATGTGAAGTGTTGTAACAAAAACACACAGAAATTTTAGAATTTTTAAAATAAGAAGTTGCTTTAGGGTAATTGATTTCACTACTGATTGTTGCTGGAAACGCAAATGATATCATTTGTTTTACCTCTAAGCACGTTACCATATAAAATCCTCAGAAAAATAATGATTTGTCTTTCCCTTTAACTCTCCATTGAAAGCAATTCTATGAGTCTCTTGTGGTAGATTCAAAACGGCCAAGTTACTCCCTCTTCTGCACTCCCATCCTTGAAATCAGATGCCGCATGATACCCCCCACACACACATGGCGAAATCTGTTTCTCCATGACCTTGTGTTAAGTTGACCTTTTGACCTGACTTTCTAACAAACTAGGGACTTTGACACAAACTAGGGCTAGCTCTCTTATTGCAGTTGGAGTTCTGAAAACTCCAACTCCAGAGGCCAGAGCCTGAGTCAGCCCGCTAGGGGCTGAGAAGCCATGTGGACGGACAAGTCAACTATCCCGTAAGGTTTAAGCAAAGGGTAACTGGTAGCACTCAAGAATGTGATCATTTGGAACTAAACAAAAAAGGGGATACAGATGGAAAAAAAAAAAAAAAAAGAATGCGATCGTGCAGTCATATACCACACCTCCTTGTAATGATTTTATTGTCTTTATTCTTTGTCTTGCTTCACTATCGACACATATAAAAATAGTCACTCATAAGGTACTCTTCAAGTTCAACTTGTACTAAATGGGGTTTGCCAATTCTCAGTATAAAATTTAAACCACATCAGTTAAGGTACATGCTTCATTGCCAATAAGATATAAGCAAATGGCAAATATGAATATTTATTTTCTCAGGGAAGACCCCAGTTGCATAATGAAGAAAGAAGTGCAGGAGGGAAAGCCAACTTCATAGACATGAGAGGGAGGTAGTTATCAATATGAAAGGATCAAGAGGCTTCAACTGACCACAGATTCAGTACAAGTTAATGTCTCAAGTGGCTTCTAGGGAAGTCAGTGTGGCATGAGCCACATGAACAGCAATATTGTCCTTGCTATATTTGCTAGATTCAGATCTGTTCTTGGTGTCCTGCATTCAGGAGGACAGTGATAGACTAGAAAGGATCAAAGAGGAAGAGTCTAGGGTGATGACACAGATTGGAATTTCACATGGGCCCTGGTTCAACGACTTGGATGCGGTTGGACACAGAAAGACCGAGCTGAAGGGCACTCATAAGGAAAAGCAAACACCAAGTATTCTCTAAATTTTATGAGGAGAAACCTAGGATCAGTGGGTGGAAGTTATGCATTTTAGGAAAAATGTTTCCTCAACCCACAACCAACAAACTGTGCCCAGGACTGTCGTGTGAGTAGAAGAGCCTGCAGGCAGAGTTCAGCGGCTGGAGAAGCACTTGTTGGTGACACTAGGCAGGAAAGTGGCGCCCCAGGCCTTTTCTCTTCCTGCTGCTATTATCCTGCTTTTTCTGGAACTCTGAGCTAGGCTGAGTCTTGAATTCTGTAAATCAGCCATGTGTAGGATGAATGATTTAAAGTAACTCAGCACCTGTCTGATTGCAATTATGAATCTTACTAAATTCAAGATAGATAGCCTCCCTTGTTCAACCCAAGCTTTGAGGACTCCTGCCCTGCTGCAGAGCAGGTGACCATCTCAGAGCCAGGAGTTATCCGAGATAGCTAGTGCTACCGTTTGCTCTCAAATTGATTGGTAGGCATAGCCAGGAATCTTTTTTTGGTGCTTAAGTTAAGTTTATAGGACTGCTTCTCCCATGGCCCAGCCCGTACCCCTCTATGGTCACCTGTTCCCTTTCTCCTCCACATCTGAATACTCTTTCACTCTAATTTCCTTGTTCCCCACTGCCTAAGGGAGAATTCTCTTAATAAGTAGTTCAGGAAGAGTCTGTTCCGCCTTTTTTTAACTTTGCCAGTTACCTGTACCTGTTTTCCTGCCCCTGAGGCCTGTCCTGCTAGACAGCGTGGTCAGGAATCCTGGAAGAGAACTGGGAGATCTGGCTCCTACCTTGGCAGGTGAAGCATCTGATGTGGAAGTGGTTGTTGTGCACACGAACCACTTCCCCTTTGCAGGTGTCTCCGCAGCGGTAGCACTGGATGACACTGGAGCTGCCCCGGGGATTGTAGGGATTCTGCTGATAAGGAACTGCAAGAAGAAACGAGATCACTAGCCACAGGCTCTAATTCTTTAAAAAAGAATTCAAAAACAAACAAACAAACAAAACCCCACCTAAGTAAAAAAGACATTAGCACAACATGAACTGGATGAAAAAGAAAGCAGAAAGAGGACAAATAATTAGCACCCCCCAGGCAAATTCTCATTGAATGTGTCAAGTTCAGGCAGTGGTGAGTGACACTATGACACAAGTCCACACAGCCCTTCAGGAGGGCAAGGACTTATATCTGGGCAACTGATTTTCTCTTTCTTTGCAATAACAAAGGTCAAATTCCAGGGGGCCAGGGAGATAGCTCAGTAGAATAAGCTCTTGCCTGGCAAGCGCAAGGGCCTGAGTTCAATCTCCGGTTCCGGGAAAAAAAAAAAAAAAAAGGCCAAATTCCAGAATGCAGAAAAACAAAAGAGAAAACAAAGTCAGGTGCTATTAAAACAATGTTTCAGTCACTACTGAATATGTGATCTTGGTCCCATGCCAATAGAACAGGACTGAGAGATTGCCAGCGCCTAGTGGTGTTGCAGCTGTAGTAACAGCCTAGTACAACATTACTTATGTGCTTGTGGTGGTGCTGGCGTGCATGAATGACTGCATTTCTAGTCATATGAAGGTGTAGCACATACAATTATACACAGTGGAAGATGTTTGGTGGTGATAATAAATGGCTACTCTAGTTTATACATTTGCTATACTTTTTATTACTGTGCAGTATGCTCTTTCAACCTCTAAAAGCTCTTTACTATAAAACAGTACTGCATGTTATGCTAGCAGCAGCTTATAATACATCTCACATTTGCTACTCTCTGTTGCATCGAGAGACCACATCGGCCAGGTGTGGTGGCTCACACTGGTAATCCTAGCACTCAGGAGGCTGAGACTGCAAGTTGAGGACAGCCTGGGCTACATAACATGTTCGAGTCCAGCCTGAACTAAACAGTAAAAACAAACTGAACCAACCAACCTACCAACAAACCAACCAAACAACCTAAACTAAATGAGAGAGAGAGAGAGAGAGAGAGAGAGAGAGAGAGAGAGAGAGGACTACATTGGATGATTAGCCAATTCCCATGTTGCTTTGTGTATGCTTGATGTTTGCATAGACCATATTGACAAAATCACCTAAAAATGCATTTTTGGGAATTTATCCTTGTCATTAAGAGACATACAAGTGCTGCTCTGGGCACCCTGGCATACTGCTGTAATCCCAGCACTCTTGAGAAGCTGAGGCAAGAGGATAACAAGTTCAGGCCTGTTACTTAGCAAGACCCTGTCTCAAAATAAAACATTAAAAAGAGGACTGGAGAGGCTCTGGGTTCTCAAGTACCACCAGCACAGAGGGATAGAGAGACAGAGATAGCTAGCTAGCTAGCTAGCTAGCTAGCTAGATAGATAGATAGATAGAGACAGACACAGAGACAGAGAGACAGAGGAATAGACACAAAGAGAGGGCTAGACAGACACACAGAGACAGACAGAACGAATTGCATTTTAAAACAATGATCCAGAAATGCTGTTTCTTGGGTGATCTCTAGATAAAAATAAGGCCCCAAATTTGTCACAGGGAATTCAAGTCCTGCAACGGGTTTATAGCTTTCAGAGAAATGGTGCTGACCCTGCCTCCAAATGTCCTTTGAGTTAAATAAGTTATAGCCCTTCTCTGGGCCTGAGTTTTCACAAGTGTAAAATAAAGGTAGTTGGTCAAAAGTAGACAGACTTTCTAGAAAGGGGACATAAAGGGAAGCACTTTGGCTGGAGAGGGCTGTGGACAGGACTCAGAGTAAAACTGTTTAAGTAGCGCTTTCCACACTAGGAAAATGCCTGAGGTGTTCCAGTGAGTGTGACAATGTTGAAGCACAGGGAAGTGGAGTGCTGGTGTCAGCATTTGATGATGCCTAAGAGGTCTGCTAAGCTAGGGAGTCTTAATCTGCTAGACTACCCCACCTGGTCCACCTGGAATCTCATACTTCTAACTAAATTAGGTCTTATGCGTTATTCTGTCACTATTTCCATATTCTTAAAGAGGTCCAGGGCCCTTATAACTGACCTCATCCACTTTCCTTTTTCTGAAGAAGAGGAACAGGAAAAGGGGCTTGTGATAATCTCCTACTTCCAGTCACCGGAATCATGAGTGTGCTACAGGAAAAAGGGCTGGCTGCTTAGCCCTGAAACTGGCTGCTGAGAATTTTGCTAACTAGGATGCAGAGAACTATGCATCTCCCCATGTCTCTCTGCCATTATTCAAATGTTCTGTCTTAAGTTCAAGACAAGCATAAATGAATTAGTTACCAAAATCATTAATTTACTAAGTGGATTATGATGATAAAGTACATTAAGTGCATCGCAAGTGCCCTCTGGCATTTGGATCATGACGTCATCCCCACAGCTCAGAGGAATAACAAGTAGTTGTTAATAACATAAGATTTGAAACTGTGCTAGGAATCAGTTTTGAAACTATTTGTTTTTCAATAAGATTATTAAAAATAATAACGAGATGGATCTATATATGGCATTATAATCATTTTATGTAATTAAATAAGAAAATTTAAAAAATACAGTATGTTCTTTAGGGCAATCTATATATGGGTCTTTTTTGATTTCTGCTTAATGTCCCCTGGAAAATAATTCACTCTTCTTTCTTCCTCCAAATTGTGAGAAAAATAAAAATCTGTTTATATGAGCGGTGTGGTGATCTGTCATTGCCAAGGGAAGCAAAGCTGTGAGTCTGAAAATAAAATAAGAACAAAAAGTACAATCAAGCCCATCACTGATGAGAGCTCTTGCAAGTCTCTAAAAGTCTGTGAAGAATCACTGCATAGAGTTCCATGTACCTCTTCTAAGTCGAAGAACCAACTTCCAGGATCAATTTTATTCTTTTTAAACTTGATCTTATTTTATGGGGAAGTGGATTTATGAGCACAGGCCTCAGTCATAACTCGGCCTTCGACCCACTCAGACAATTAAGGCAGAAAGTTAGAGTAGGGGGATGGACTAGGACAACAGGCCTCTTGAGGCAGAAGTCCCAAACAGGCCTCTGCTTTCTCTGGGTGGAGGATGTGGCTCTGCTGGGCTGGGTGTGGCTGGAGCTCCTGAAGTGTCTGATGTTGGTGAGTGACAGACACACCAGCATTTATGGAGTCCGTTCTTCCAGATGCTGATGTAAGCTATGATTAGAAAGGGCAGCAAGATTGGATCTTACAGGGTTTGGGATGGAGCCTGTTGTATAAAACTTGCCTACCAGGTCCAATTCTCAAAAGAAACCAAGCAAACCAAACCAAATCCTTGGCAGGAATGGTCGTGCACGCCTTCAGTCCTAGCACTTGGGAGGCTGAGGCAGAACAATCATGATTTTGAGGCCAGCTGGAACTACATAGCAAGGTTTTGTTTATTTATTTTTTTTTCTTTTATTTATTTATTTATTTAGTGTGTGTGTGTGTGTGTGTGTGTGTGTGTGTGTAGCCAGCTCAGCCCACCACGTGGCGGGGCTGGCTGGCATGTGGTGCTGGGGGATCGAACCACGGTCCCTATGCTTTGCTAAGCTTGTTCTTAAGTAGGTGCTTTAGACCACTGAGCCATCTCACCAGCCCCCTTTTTTTTTTTTTTTTTTTTGCAAGGTTTTGTTTAAAAAGAAAGAATCTTGCAGGTGTGGTAAGACCTTTTCCCACCCTAAGAATTCCCTAGGACAGAGATTTTCCTAGGATCCCAACAAGCAGGGAAGCTCGGCTGAGATCTTCCCCATTTGCTGCTTCTCTGGAAAGAACCTAATTTCCAATCAGATTTTGTATTTTTGGGTAGTTAGCTTAGTTTAACTTTATTTTTCCTATGTATAGGTATAGATGGGGTGTGTGTTTTCTTTTTTTTTGAGATGTTGGGGATTGAACCTATAACCTTGCTCATGTTAAGCAAGTACTCTACCACTGAGCTACATTCCCTTCCCAAAGCGCTAAGATTTGATTACTGATCTTTTGTTGGTTACTGCATCCACTAATTTTCATCTCAGAAAGTATTAAGGTTTGGTTTCTTGGTTTGCAACATTTGTCTGTGGGCAAATGTCTTGAATTCCACATTGACCTACACACACCCACATTTCAAAACTACCTCCTGTAAGGAACCACCTACCCTAAGATACCACCGAAGAGCTGATGT